GGCCACGCCCGTGGGCGAGCCGGCCGCCGCGCCGCGTCGCTCATCGTGCTACGCGGTTCTAGGTCGTGGCATCATCGGCTGCGCGGCGGATCTGCTCTGGGCGCGTGCGGCGGAGCAAGGGCGGCGGCGCGCGGGCCGGCGGGACGCGGCGGCACCTCGGCGCCCGAGTCGGCGGCGACCTGAAGCACGCGCTCGCCGCGCAGGTACGAGTCGGACGACGCCGCACTGCCGATGCAGTACGCCGCGTCCGCCATCCGCACGTGCATGGCTCGCGCATCCGCCTCTGAGTAGACGGCCACAGTCTCGACGCCGAGCCGCCTGGCGGTCTGGATGACGCGGCAGGCGATCTCACCGCGGTTGGCCACGAGAATGCGGCGAAACATGGACTAGCAAATAAGGCAGCGGGCGCGGTTCTCGGAGAGCGGCGGAGCGGAACGTGACTGCGCGGCAAGGCCGGCGCAAGATTTCTTTTGAGAGAGAGTTCTTTTTTGTTGAATTCTTTTGAGAGCGCCTTCGTTGTTAATAGTAAAAACCCGAGGGTTTGCGAGCGAGCGGTCCTTCGTTCCAGTCGCACACACGCACACGCCACGCCGCACCGCGCGCCCGCCCACTGCCCCGCCCAGGCGGGAAAGAGATGAGGAGATGGGACAGCGAAGGAGGAGCCACGAACACGATACACGAACACGTATGAAGAGATGGGTGGGACAGCAAAGGAGGAGCACAAACACGTATGGGAGGGTTCAGTTGTGCGCCACGCTGCCCGGCGTCTCTCACTTTCCTAGGGGGTAGACAGCGCCGCAAAATCCACCACTGTGGGATTTCGAGAGTTTGTTTTGGGATTTCGCGCAATCGCTTGACTCTGAAAAGCTCGCCTATCCCTGCGGTGAGCGCTGTGGTCGCCGCAGACTGGCTCCGACTTGATGGGCGCATGGAGACGTGATGCCTCCATGCGCCCGTCGAGTCAAAATCGACATGCGAGGCGATCTTTGGCCCGCCAGAGGGATAGGCGGCGTTTTGGGCGACAACAGCGCTGCGACCGCGAAGTGGCGGTGGACATGCTCCCATGTTGCCGACGCGGCGCCGGAGTGGCCGGCGCTGCTCGCCGCGACCACGACGGCTACTCCGATGCTCCGGGCCGACCCGTCCCACCCGACGGTGGCACTCTTCCACGTCTCGCTCACGCTGGGAAAAATTCTGAAACGGCGTGCAGCAGAGTCACCGACGAGTCGGTCCGCGTGCCTCCTCGTGTCCCGTACCGTTCTCGCACATCCATAAACTCACTTTGGCCCCACTGAAGCAAGCCCTCAATCCTGAATCCTCAGATTTTAGATTAGGACGCTGTCCACCCCCTAACTTTCCGGGACAGCCCCGCCCTTTCGAGGCAGGAAAGTGACGGCTACCCCGTACGCCCTGTTTGCTTCTACCCCGACGCCGACCGCCCATCCCCCCCTCTTCGTTCCCCCCTCGAATTCTCCGGACCCCGACAGGCCGCCCGACGTTGGGCCTCTGCCCCGCACGCCCCCGCCCCTTCTGCCCCTCGCTCACACCCCGGCCCGACACGCACATACAAGACAAACCCGGCGTGCGAGGCTGTGGCCGCTTCCAGCCGACACTGCGACGACACGCTGGCCAGCGAAGGCCTCGATCTTCTTTGGCAGCAGCTGGTTGAAATTGTGGCCGTGGCCCAACCGGCCACCGGCTCCATCGCCCCAGCTCCAGACGGCTCCGTCGGCGGTGATTGCCATGCTGTGCGCATCTCCAGCCGCCGCGGTGATAACGCGCTGGCCAGCAAAGGCCTCGATCTTCTTCGGTAGCACCTGGTGTTGCTGGTCGCCGTGGCCCAAGCCTCGACTACCCCAGTTCCAGACAGCTCCGTCAGCGGTGAGGGCGAGGGTCTGGCAGTCTCCCACCGTCACGCTCACAGCGCGCTCGCCGCCCAGCGTCGACGCAAGGCGCGTCGGCGTGTTGAGCCGCGTCACGCCCTCGCCGTGGCCAAGGAGGCCTGGGATGTGCTCCGCACAGCCGCACGACGAGAGCCGCCCCTCGACGTCGATGAAAACGCTGTGTAATGTGCCTGCCGCAGCCCTCGCCGGCGGGTTGGACTCGCACAGCAGCGCAGCGAGACACAGCCAACGCACGGCACAGCTCTCCCACTCTGGCAGCGCCGGCAGCTCGAAGCCGCGCTCTTGCGCCCACAAGCGAATGGCCTCCACCGCAAGCGAGCCGTGAAAGAGCAGCGAGACGGCCGCGACGCGAGCGATGTCGGCGGGGCTCTCGCAGCGAGAGAAGGCGCGCACGAGGAGCTCCGTGGGGAGGTCGAGGAGGCGGGCGGGCGGCGGCGTGTCTGGCGAGGGAGCGGCGGTGGAGACGGGTGCGAGGCGGCGCGGGCAGACATGGAGAAGAATTCTTAAGATACAAGCCTCTCTCACAGCACACTGGCACGACAAGGGCGCAGACTGGCGCGGACTGGCACACACACAGGCTCACCACCGGAGCCGCCTAAGCGACTCCGTTAAGAACGGCAATGCACTCCGCACCATGCACAATGCCGCTCTCCCCGCACGCTAGCTCGTTCACCGTCTGCCACGCCACGGCGGTGTGGAGGACGACAGACAAGCGCTGCATCTGCAGCCCGTGCCAGTTCTTGGTGGTCCATGTGACCTCGTCCAGGTGCTGAGCGTGCGAAAGTTTATTGCTCAGCTGGTTCGCCGCCTCCCTCAGGGTGCTGCGAACCTCCTTGCCAAAGCCTCCGAAAGCCTGTGGCCTCCATATCAGACTACCCATGAAAGAGCTTCCTGCCGTCGCGTGTAATTCTCCGCGTTTGTGTCCCGGAAACAAAATGAGCTCGTTTGTGTCCCGGCGCGTCAGGCTTGAAAAGAAAGAAGACCAGGCTGCTCGCGCGCCGTGCCTCTAGTCTTTGACCTCACTTGGGGCAGGTCACACTCGATGGACACTTTTTCTTTTTCAGGAAGCAGCATGGGTCGGCACCGCGTTTCTTTCCTTTCTTCTCGTCCGGCATCTCGTCCTCGGCCGGGATGGCCAGCTCCTCCGGAACGGCCAGCTTCTCGGCCGGGAGGGCCAGCTCCTGGGCCGGGACGGCCATCTTCTCGGTCGTCATCTGAGCCCGCAGAGCTGGGATCAGCTAGGGGATCAGGCCAGACATTGGAAAGGGGGGGGGGGGGGCGGAGATAGCAGGCGACTGCGCGGCAAGGCTACAAGGCGCGCACACCTTGAACGCCGGCTCCATCTTTTCAGCCGCGACGAACGACTCCTTGAGCGCTGGCGCCGGGGCCAGCGCATGCGTGGCCAGGGTCCCCGCGAATGCCCCGCCTGCAACGGCATTACTAAACTGTGTACAAAGTGGTAAGGGGCATGCGGTGTAACAGGGCCGAAATGGATGGCGCGGTCCGGTTGTGCACACCAAAAGCGGCGGTGACGACGAGGAGCGTCTTCATGGCGCCGCTCTGGTTCGTCTCTATCATGGCTGCCTGCGGGGCGCGCCTAGACATCTGAGCAGCGCGCAGAGCGTGCTGCTGCTGGACACAAGGCTTCCCCGCACGCGCGAGCAGGCGCGAGCAGCGCGCGCGAGAGCAGGGCGCACGCACACGATCCACGCCAAGTGGGGGTAGTGGGTGGGGGCAGTGGGCGTAGGGTGGCGTATGCGCATGTGCAGGGAGGGCCATTGCTTGCCGACGACGAAAGACGGGGACGTACGAGTTTACGACGAACACGCATTCTCTAAATGCACGCATTCTCCCTGATTCCGCCGTATTGCACGCAATCTCCCTTTCTGCCTGGAATTTTTTTGCAGGCCGAAAGTCCGGGACGTACGCGGTAACTTTTCATGGATCTTGGTTCTTGCGTCGGTCCGAAGATAGATGGTTGCAGAGTACTTTGCTACTTTCTGAGCGGTAGGTCAGGTCCGCCGCGACGCGTCAGCTGTCTGTACACAGTACAGTCTACAAACGCCAGCACCCCCCACAGGCAGAGAGCGCTCCTCGCACCTCGGGGGGGGGGGGGGGGGGCACTCGCTGGAGAGGTAATGCGGCTTTTCAAAATCAAGGGATTGCCCGAAATCCCAAACTGGGGGATTTTGGGGGGCTGTTTACCCCCTAAAATCGAAAATGGATACCCAAAAAGGGGGAAGTTGCCCCCCGCGCGCCAAAAGCACCATGGATCCCTTTCCCCCCAAAAGAAACCGGGGGGGGCTCAAACAAAAGGCCAGCCCCCCCCCCCCGAGGCCTCCTCCTTGGCCCTTTTCGGGTCCTCCTCGGCGGGGCCCTAAGGCAAGGTAGGGCAGGGGGACCTTTTTCACACACACACACACACACACACACACAAACACACACACACACACACACACACACACACACAAACACACACGGACAAACGCACACACGCAAACAGGCCCCC